ATATATATATATATTAGTTGGGTATTTCTCGCCCATCCCTATTGACTTGTGTATTCCTAACTAATTGGTGTCTGTCTTGGTTTACTAAAATAAGGTAATTGCAAACACTTGTTGCACTGTCTCTTGTGTATATCGCTCCTCCGGACTCCCCAATGTACACCCCCCCCCCTCCCTTCTCTTCTAGTGGAGCTGTGCCAGTAAAGATGGTGTAGTACGATTAGTGGAGAGTAGTCGTACATGTTCAGCACATTCTGAAATGGGGCAAAACTGATGGGGTATAAAGACTGGTGTGCTGTAGTGAATTTTTTTGTAATGGGACAGACCAGGATCGAGGTAACTGCCTATCAGAAATACATTTTCAGAATATGAAAGTGATAACATTTAAGGGTAGGGTAAATTGTTGTAATACTAAAAGTATAAGAAAAAAATGGATGGTTTTAGAAAACTAATTGACATGGAGGACTTCAACAGTATTTTGGTAATCATTCAAATTTGGTAAGATGTGGACTATTTATTTGAAATGCAGGGTTGTAGGTTATTTACTAGGGATGACTACTAATAGGAGGGGGAAGTAGTGGCTTTATTTGTAAAATGTCAGTTACATCCTGCTGATAATAAGGGTATCAAAGATAATGGAAGGGAGATTAAATTTCTTTGGGTGTCCCGTTATTGATTTTGGGGGAGAAAGCTTTTAGTTGGAATTTGATATATACCACTAGATGAAAATGATGAAATTAATGAGAAAGTGTAGAGTGAGGTTAAGAATTCCAATGTTAATGAGGTCATGATATGGGAGATACCAACTTCATGTATGTAGAGTGGTAAATTTTAGTCAAGTCATGAAGGAGACTGGTTTCTAGAAACTGTTCAGAACAGTTTTCTTAACCACTTAGTCAGGGAACCTTCTAAAAACTAATTTTAAATTTATTATTAACTTCTAAGGTGGAAATGATTGAGAGATGGAGACTAGGGAACATCTGGATGCAAGTGATAATTTCTCAGGTTTAATGTTTTACTGCACAAGAGGTTATGAATAATGAGATTCTGGCTACAAGTTTCAAAAAAAATAAATTTTTGAAAGGATGTAACAAGAATTATTTTGAATTGGGTAACTAAATTATTTTAAAAGTAAATTTTTCAATACTCAAGATGGACATTTTCCATTTGTAGGAAAAAAATGGATGGCTGCAAATTAAAGATTAGGTTGAGTCACAAAGAGTATAAACACCTCAAACCAAAACTATATACACAAATATAAATATCCCATTAATTCTCAAATCCTCAGTCACTTGCAGTAACAAACATATTTAATGCATTTACATAATTCATTGCTTTGTAAAATTTTACTGCCAGATCTAGGAAGAAAATATAACAAAAATTACTAAAAGCTTTAACAGTTTTCTATATTGAGCACCATTTCAATCTGTGGCAGGATCAATGCAATCCATGATTTTTTTTTATTAGTTCATGTTTAGGGTATTAAACATGCATAAAAAAAAAACATGAATAATTATTTACACGTAATAAAACCTGAATAGCTTGGATGCAAAAGTTGTACACCATGCATGACAAAACTGAGCTGATAGTGGTATTGTATTGATGGATATACAGCATTTTGAACAAATAAGCATTATTATAATAGCATTATTATTTTTTATTACAACACATGTCCATGGGCATACCTGGTCAGTGTTAAAGTATTATGAGCTGAGAAACTTGAGCCATTGGTACAATGTCACACTTGCTATCCCTTGTGAATGGAGAAGATTGTTTATATTTAAAAATTATTAATCTTTTCAAATATGTATCTTAAAATATAAATATCACATAATTAAGTAAAATATAAAACTAAAACCTACAAACAATGCAACTGTCTAACCAACATACTTATAGGTGGGAAACAATGTTAAAGTGGCAAGGACAAAAGCAGCAACAATGCTAAGAAAAGTTTGACTAGTTTTCTATAGAATTCTTCATGCCAATTTCAAAATAAGTGTTAGGAGAACACATTTTGAAAAGTGCTCTTTCCTCTGGTTATAAATATGTAGCTCAACTAAGTGTAATTGGCTCAGAAATGGTGTAAAAGTGGGTGTGGGATCTATAAAGAGTACAAAGAAAGTTCTATTTTCTCTGAATGTGCCGTATAGAGCTTGAAAGAATGTGTAAACAGACCAATTAACCTAGATTCACAAGTTAAAAATGTGTAGTTGTACATCAAACTGAAGTTTCTTTTGAAATAAAGGAATTAAAACTTAGATAATACAAGACTTTGAACTATATTGTCAAGTTTAATGCTAATTTTGTTGGTAAACATTGATTGTAGGATTGCTTAATAAATTTTGAATGTGACAAAGTAAAATCTTGTGACACTTACAGTACAGGGGTGCCTGTAATCGTAGGGTTAAGATAAGCAGGTTTTATTCAATTGACAACAGTTGAGAAAAATTTGAAATACTAATTTAGATTAATCAATTATTTTGCTTGTCATTAATTACTGTAATTGATGCTCATAGATAATCAGTATATATTGATTGAATTAATCACCCAGCTGTGTGTGATAGTTTTAGGTTTAGAGGTATGAACTTTTAAGTGTTCATGCATATTGTGCTCAACTTCTGCATTTTGGAATTTTTAGGAATTTGCTTAGCTCTGTAGAAAACTGTCTGGAGAGTTTTTCTAGCAATAAAATTAACAAAGTGAAAAAACGAATTTTGTTCAATGAGATATAACTGTAAAACTTTTTGTCATGTACATCTGGCAATATGAATTTTACATTCTTGCTTGCCATTATAAAGAAAAAAAATTAAATCAAGATGTAAAAAAAAGTAGTGTGTGTGTGTGTGTGTGTGAGAGAGAGAGAGAGAGAGAGAGAGAACTATTTATTGGTTATAATGCTATACAAATGTTGTCTGAACTGGTCTTTTAAATTAATACTAAGTTGCCCTATATAAATATTGGAGAAACTACCAACAGTATAGTATAAAGCAGGTGTGGCAACTGATATACTAGATTATCATTTATCAGAATTTACAGTACAAATAAGTGTTCAACTTGGGTATCATAACTTTTTAAGAAAAAGTACTTGGGTTATTGAGCAAAGTTAATCCTTAACTTTTTTGGGGGGGTTTAAAGAGTATCTGGTGATATATTCAGCTCAAGTTCTTCAAAGGCACAGTGTTATAGTTTTTGATAATGCTGGAAGTTTGTGGAGAGAGTTCGTTGAAAGTTTAGACAAATTTGATTACTCTTGAATTAGATTTTATAGTAATTGATTGTAACTTGTGATTTAAAGTTTTTTTATTCTTATTACTGAATAAAATAAGTGATTCACCAAAGTATTTGGTTGTTTAGAAAATATTGTAGGTACTACAGTGTTTTTTTTTTTTCTCTATCTCTCTTCCCAGATATCTACATTTATGATGGAAGAAAAAAATTGTTGTTTGTAAATAAGGTGGATGATAAATGAGCTTTTTCTCTTTTTCAGGGATGGAAAAGAGGAAGCCCACTTGTGGCCTTCAGAAACTTCCACTTTACTGTTGAAGGCAGGCAGACAGATGCAAAAACAAAAAGCGGAGAGGTAGTGTATTTATAATGTAAGATCTTGTATATCAACAAAAATTGCATTTACTGATTGTATTTGGGATCTAATAAGTTTTAATGTAAAGTGTTACTTCAGAATATTGATGCACTAGCGTCGCCCTTTGTGCTGGGAAACGAGGAATTGAGCGTGGTGGATCACTTCACTTACTTGGGAAGTTGCGTGAGCTCGGAGGGAAACCTGAAGTGTGAAATAGATGCGAGAATCGCGAAGGCCAGAGCAACCTTCCATGACTTGAGACATCTTTGGCGTCACAAAGGGATTTCTCTTAACGTTAAGGGACGGGTGTACAGGACCACAGTAAGAGCCATTCTTCTCTACGGCTGTGAGACCTGGACCCTTCGAGTCGAAGATCTCGAACGTCTTCAGGTGTTCGATCATTGTTGCTTGCATGGTTTTGCGGGCATAGGTTGGCACCGGAGGATCCGAAACTCCACGGTCCGTGATCGTATTCTAGGACCAGAGTCCGATTTAGGAACGCTCATGAACTTGAGCAAACTAAGATGGCTCGGACATGTATTGCATATGTCACCGAGCCACTTCCCACATAGGACACTCTTTGCTACCCCCAATCCAAGCTGGCGTAGAGTACGTGGGGGCCAGGCACTGACCTGGAGCCGTCAGACGAGAGGGCTTACAAGTAGATTAGCTTCAGTTGGCAGGGTTAGACTCCCTGGATGGGGTCCGCGCGACGCCGCAGACCAAT